TTTTCCCCAAAATATCTGTTTTCTTGCTGGTTGTTTAAGCAGAGGCTTCCTAGCTTCGCTCCTACCACCCACTGCAGCAATGTGCAATTACCAGCCTTGCAAAGTGAAAGGGAAGTGAAATGTCATTCCAGCCTGAACCACCGAGATCTGCTCTTCAGTCTTTCAACTCCCAAGGTTACCACATCTCTCCYTGCCGTATCATTTCGAGGTGTTTCTATAAGCAAGTGGTTTTACAAGGAAAGATAACCTTTAATGCACCTCATTTCGGTCCATGTCTTCCACCTGCTGTTGCTCAATGTTTAGAAGGTAAAGGCAAAATTATCAGCAGTTCCTGTAAGCTGAGTTCAAGCCTGTCTTCATGTGCTGTATAGACCAATTTGCAGCTTGGCATTTCCAACATTGGCTAAAGAACTGACAGTTAAGTCTTAACAGAAGGGCTTGGCTGGTTCTRTTCTTTGCCTTTGGAAACAGCTGAAGAAAGGAAATAGGTATTTGCTAAAGGGAAAGGATTGAGGAAAACAAAGATTTTCAATATGCTGGCTGTTCTGAAGCCTCTAAAAGAAACCAGTCACACAAGGTTAAAACCACTTCCCTGTGCAAGGAAAAAGTAGGACTTACAGCCCTGTCCCTGCATGGTTTAGACACCACAGTTACACTGAAAATTAGCCACTGTTTTTCGGGAGAATCTTGGGCAAACTGCCTTCGCCCTCAGGATTTCCATTTGCAGCTCTGGATAATAAAAGCAAGKTGAAGTGGCATGAGGCCCCGGGGAGCTCCGAGGAGATCCCACTGCCCGGGAATAGCCCGGCCCTTGGTCCTTGACCAGGGCCAGGGACTTTCCAGCACGCCAGCTCTGCCCAAGCTGGGTCATTGGTCACGGGGAGCTGTCCCCAACCCTCCCAACCGTTTAAGCCCTTCGGAATAATCAGCATTTGCCATCCAAGCTGGAACACATCCATATTAAGGACGTGGCTCTCATTTTAACACCAGCTTCCCAACCTACTACTAATTTTAGGCTTAGGCCGTTATTTAAGGCATGCATTATGACTAAACCGAGAGCACGGGGCATAAACAGCAGCTCACAGGAGGATGAAGGCAAGTGAAACGCTCAGCGGTAACAGTAGCTGCTCGGGATGACAGGGGTATGGCAGGTATGTCAGCAATGCCGCATTAAGTGCCACCAGGGAGGTGGCACGGGCGCGAGCCACCGCTTTCACCAGCGTCTGTCAGAGCAGCAACCACGGGGTGTGAACAAGTAATTTTTAAGTGGTGCAATTCCTGCATGTGAGTAATGAAGATATACTTGCAAAACACTCTTCAAAACAATAAGTCCTTGCAAATTAAAGAAAAAAAAAATCCACAAACTACCTTCCTATTCTCCTCTTTTGGGAAGTAGGCAACAGGCTCAAGTCCAAAAAATGAAAGTAAAATAAAATAAAAATTAAAAATCCCTGCAAAGGCACAATGGTTTCAAGGTCTCAGTGCCGGCTCTGCTGCTGCTCTCCTGACCCCAGCATCATCCAGCGGTGCAGGAGCTGCCAAGGGGCTGATCCCGCTGTCCATCCCTTCCTGAGCAGGGCTCCAGGATCTTCCCTTTCAAAGGTTAAAGCTGTTTACTSAAAGGCTCAAGAGGGAGGAGGTGGCAAACAAGGGTGGCTCTGCTAACAGTTACGTGCACAGTTCACGGGTGATAAACATTACCTAGAGACACCCTCTTGGCAGCAGCCCCTAGGAACCACCCAAAACCTGCCACCCCCATTCACATACAGCTGGAGGACACCGCATAGAAATCTAGTGTCCTGCAGCATCCAACTCCAGAAAGATGATTTAAGTGTAGTTGCATGCCGTGTGCATTGGTAGTGCAGCTACAAACCAGGCTCTTGCACCCAAACCAGAGGCTTAGTTGGAGTTTCCTAGCACAGAAGGGGCTGAACTAGCATAGCACAGATGTTTCCCTCCCTGGCAAACCTGGTACATTTTGTTCCCAGCTAGATTCACCCACGTCTGAAGTGCTGCTTCAGGTGACAGTCTGCAAAACATGATTTGGGTACCAAAAACATTTAAAAAAAAAAAAAAAAAAAAAAAGAAAGAAAGAAAAAAAGGAAAAGAAAAGTAGCACATACTACAGGAGGAGCAAGCTAACTCATAATGTTTCTCTGTTCTGCGGCATATCTTAGCCTCAGGGCCGGTGAATAAAAAAAAGTAAACAAAAAAAGCTAATTCCCCTTTGCTGTGCTTTTCTGTGCTGTGTTTCATGTAAACAGAGTGTTAAAAGCTGCATCTTTCAATGAGAAAAGTCAGAAAGGGCTTCACACATCGCCTTGTAGAGAAAGGTTTCACACCTGAGGGGCCAGTGCTGTCACCTAACCAGAGCTCAGCAGCAGGGCCACCCCAGGAGAACCCACCACAATTTAGACCTCAGCACAAGCCGCACTTAAAGCAAGACCAAGCAGTCCCTTTGTGCTCTTGCCTTCGCTGTGCAAGGTTCAGATGAAAATACCTCATGGYAGGAGCAAGTTCTGAATGACCCAGGCACCACTGACCCTCACAGCAAGACCCAGGAGGGAAGTGTAAAACAGCTCAGGCCGGAGCCACTCACAAATCTGGGCCTCCTTTTTGCAGAGTCTGAATCAGATACGGGGCCAGTTTATTAACTGAGCGCTGTTGCTGCAGATAGTTTTTGAATATTTCCCAAGATATGGAGAAAAAAACTGCAAAAATAAACTTAGGAATCCCATGTCCTAGCCAAATCCAACTCATAAAGGAAGGCAGAGGGAAGATGAGGAGTGATTCATTTTGGGAAGTGCACAAAGAGCTGTGAATTACTCTGCAAAGGATGACAAGGACTGGGAGGGGGGCTATACCCAAAGGGCACCCAACCCAATCTTACGYAGCCCATCACTCACCATACATTGACTTATCTGTAAAGTTTCCTTTACCCTAAATTATCCTCTGGGATCTAATGCAGCACTGACTAGCTRGGAAAAGGGCCTCCTGCAATGCACTTGGGCTGAAATGCCTGGTTAGGAAGCAACATTTCTGGTGCTGCATCTTCTTTGTCACACCTGTGTGGCAGCTCAGTCCCCAAATCTTATGGCTCAATGAAGTCCTTTCACCTYCAGGCAAAACAAGCAAACAAAAACACCCCAAACTAAAAGCCCACCTGCTTAGTCCAGCTATACCAATATGGGAGCCCAAGGGGTCCCTTCCCACAGCTCCTAGGCAGCTGGATTCCCTGTGTCTCCCTGGCAAACAGCATCAGCTGCTCCAGCTTCCTTGAGGACATCAGCAAGGAAAACTAGTTGTAGGAATTTTTGTGCCACGCAGKAGTCCCCGGCCTTGATCACTGCCCAAGCTGTATAACCTCAACCCTGCTCCGAGATGATAGAATTCACTGTTCCCAAAAGGGGAAAGAGTGAGAAATTCAACCAATCCAGGGAACTAGTAATTAAGGTCTTGGGAAAAAAAACACTGAGTCAGTAATAACCGACCATTTTTGGCCAATGAACCATGGCTGAATCAATGAACCTTAGTATTTCTAACAATATATCCAAGTAAAACTGTTTTATAAGGTCCTGGGCTCTGCTGCAGATTACTTACCACAGCCTCAGGGACCAGTTTGGATAGCGCAAGTTTAAAGGGACAAAGTGTAGAAATTACTGGAAGAAAAGAGTTATAAGAACTTGTTGTAAAGAGGAAAAAGGCCCAAAACTGCAATCCAAGAATTTTAAAGAGATAAAAGGAAACTAATAGGTAGCACAAACAAATGGAGTTGCAAAATTAATTCCAACAAGATCTTAATTGTTCTACAAAGGCACTAACAGAGGAAAACAAAGTGTGGGGCTGTTAATCAGGAAGGAAAACACAGCACATGGCAGAAGACAGCCTCCTCAAAGCCTTCTTTGCCTTGTACTTAAGCACTTAAGGATGATTTTCATCAAGGACTGATCTTTCTTAAACCTTTAAATCTTTTGTTTTCAGCCTGTTCTGTCTTTTTTTGGGTCCCCTTGTTAAATGTGCTTTTCTACAGATTAATCGTAAGTGGATGTTTAAGGTTGAGCAATCTGAACCTCAAGGAGCTGCCTGTCAGCACCGTCTCAGCAGGGTGAGGTGGTCAGACCTGCCACCGTTGCTTTGCAGAGGCAGGATCACAGCTCCTGGGAGCTAATTCAGGTTGCTCATGTTCATGCCTTTCACCATCACGGAGCTGATTTTTSGAAGTCTCCATTTATGAGCATCACTGTTCACCTTTAAGTCTCACCACAAAGCTGGCAGCAAGTCATCCGCCTAAAGCAGAGSACACACTAAAACGCAAACTCTCCATGAAGATCAGTTCTCCTTAAATAAATGAAGTAGGATCCATACATAACACAGCTAATTAAGGATGACTTTTATTGCTCTGGCAAAGGGTTGGAAAAAAAAAAAGCAAGGTGGTCAAGATTTAGGGAAAAGAATCATAAACTGAGGCATGGCCAAATGTAGAGGATGACTCAGCCTTCCAGGAACAAAATTGGTGAGGGGAAAAGAACAGTATGAAAGACAATCAGACCCACGCCTGAGTCACGGGGAAAATAAAGAGTGAGAATCACAGAAGTACCATCGAAGCAGGAGTTTTTCCAAGATYTTCCTAGCAAAGAGGTAGGTAAGAAAAGACGGAGCAAGAAACAGGAGCTGAGGATAGCAGAAAACATTCCCTCCATCAACCACTCTTTCAGAAACAGTTGAAACAGGAGCAGAGAGATGTCATGAGAACGTGGATGGGGAGGAGCTGCAGAGGATTAAAAGATAGTTGAAGAACTATTATATATGGGTTTTGGATTGCTACAAGGATCCCCAAAAGAGAAAAACAATTGGTCTAGACTAGAAATGACTAGACTAGACATGAGGGCAGCTCAGCTAAAGCACCACCTGACTTCTGCAACTGTACAGAAGAAAGAAAAGCTTCTTCAAAATCATTCACCCCAAGCCCACTGCTGAGTTTCCTAGTTGTTGGTACTCACCATGCCCATTGCAGTAATAGATCCACTTCTCCCTGTTCTGCGTCGGGGTTGTGGATTTTTTCATGATAGCCTTTTCCACAATGGCACTGGGATCTTGCCTAGGGCCCTTCTTCAAAGTTCGTGAGCTCTTCCTGACGCTGCAGACGACTATAACGACGAGGACCAGCAGGAGGAAGAGGACGATCATCCAGGGCAAGTGTTCGTTGATGTCGAAGTGCTTGTGGGGGCTCGGCGGCCCTCTCCTGGGGGGCCTGTACGGGATGCTGGACTTTTCACTGCTCGTCATCTCCATGGACGGCTGCTTCTCRAGCGCTTGGCTAGTGTGCTTGTGCCGGTAGTTCTGCACGCGGCTCGCGGCRCCGGCGTCCGCGAGGATCCCCTTGGCACCGTCCGTGTCATTCACGGAGGTGTCGTTGTAGTACCCAGGCAGCTCCGCCGTGCCATTGTATGCGGGTGCTGTGGGAGAGGGAGCAAAACCGGGAGCGGAGGAGTTCACACCTGGGAAAAGAAGAGAGCACTCAGTGCCACGGCACCGGAGACACGGGGCAGCCTCATGCCATGGCCCAAGAACCGTCCGGGCATCTGCTCTGCCACGAGACCGAAACTCAATGCCAGGCAGGTAGAAGGTAAAGAGGTTAAGTTAAGGTTTACAGGTGGCTACAGTTACAGAGTTAAGTTCAGACAGAAATGACCTTTTCTGCTTAAGGTTAGTGGCAGCTTTTGAAAAGTGATTAAAGGGATGCTGTCAATYTGCACTTGATCCAAAATCACTATTTTATATATTTTTTTCTAAAAAAGTGTGGCTAGGTTTTATTAACATTAATTTTATTTTGATTCTTGGAAGTTTGGGTGAGAAACACCTGGCAAAAATCTCTACTGGATACTGAAAGGAGCTGATGAGTTTTCTTAAAGCAGCACAAGCATCAGCTCAGCACAGGTTGCAGAGGTATCAACTGCATTTCTGAAATGACATGAGCTACCCAACCTCTGCTAAAAATCTTTACTGAGTTTTCTTATCAATAAATTATGCTTTAGTGAGAGCTCTCAAGTCCTAGTGAGTCATGTAACCCAAAGCCTGGTGAGAAGATGAAGAGCTGCTGCAGCAAGAACTAGAGCCTACTTTGGAAAAGAGCCTTTCAAAGGCTGGCTCATCCCAAACAAGACTGAGAGAGGGTGTTAACATCTACGAAGTGACTTTGCCTCAACTTAGTTGCCCAAAATATTCCAGACAGGTCACCAAAAGGGCAAGAAACTTCTACCTGATTGCCTACAGTTAATTTCAAAGTTTGGGAATATCTTCCCCTCCTCTCTGAATGTCTTATCAACATCATATCAAGCTTTGAGACCTAACAAACTGGAAGCACTGGAGTTCATTATCATTAATATTTCTCTGCAATTGTATTTCTAAGGCTTGAAGGCCTCTAAAAACTGCATTTGGTTGTTAAAATGCCCATTTGAGACACCTTAAAGAGGTTCTTCCCTTCGAAGAACTGAGTACCACCTCAAATAAGATCATTTCCTATCCAAATAGTTTCAAAAAAAAGGCTGTGATGATATATCATATCTAATTAAGCTTGAGAATGTCAAATTAAATCCAATTTACCCCACAATTGACAACTAATGAACATCTTGGGAGGTTTAAAAAAAAAAAAGCTATGCAGTCTAGGTTCCTCGATCTCTGTTCTGGCAACACTTCAATTTATATATATAAATAAATGTGTGTGTATATATATATATACACATACACATATATATATGGGCACCTATTTGTTGGCATGGTACACATGGCAGGGAAAGCACTGCATGAAAGCAATGAACCCATCAGGAAACCTGCCCATTGGAGAGAAGATTCCTTTTCTCCCTCCCAGGTCTCTGTTGCACCAGGTCTCTTCTCAAGTTTAACAAAAATGCACAAATATTTGTACCAGCACAACTTACAGATGTGAAAGGGGCTGAGGAAAGTAATGTTCATTTAGTCCAAATGGTAGCATAGCCAAAAGTTTGACCAAAATTGAAGTCTTGGTGAAAATATTTTTAAATGCAGTTTAGTAGAAATAAGGGCAAACTGATATACTCTGCAGCTTGCTCTAGCCAAAAACCAAAGCATCAAGTCAAGTTCTTTAACAGCATAGCAACATTCACAAACAGCAGCCTCAACTGAGGTGAGAATGCAATCCTGTGACTAAAAATATAGCTATATTTCATCAGCTGCCATTACCTTTGGGAGGGTAAGAAGTTGACRGAACTTCATAGGGCTCTCCACCAGCTTCTGGGTTTGATGAAGACGAAGATGCATTAGGAAGAGACGCTGGAGAACCGCAGACGTTGTCACTCTCTTTCGTCCCTGGCTTGACCACCACCATGTTTTTCCCAAAGCAGTCAGTGTATGTTTTGCACTTCATCACACTGGAAGGCACATCAGAAAAGGTCCCACGAGGGCACGGCTTGCACCTAACGTCTTCCGTCTCGGTTCCTTTCTTGCGGACGCCCCAGCCGACTGGGCACACGGTATAAGGGATGCAGGTGTCATTAGTCTGAAACGTGCCAGACAGGCAAGTGCACTCACGGTCAGTCAAGGCAGTACAATGAGTTTTCTCAATCATTGGCAGTTCGCAAGGTTTCCTACAAGCGTGGCATCGCTCTATGCCGTTCTCATGCTTGGTAAAAGTCCCATCCGGACACGGGCTGCACTCTCTTAAGGTACTCTTTGTACAGTGCTTAGACACGTAGGTCCCTGCGGGACATTTGTCGCAGATGAGCTCTTTGTTAGTGGCACGGTCGAGGTGGCGGTACTTGCCAGAAGAGAGGCTTATGGCATTCTGTTCGGAGGTCAGTTTTGACTGAGCATCAGCAGTGCCGAGGAGCATGAGCAACTGCAAGACAAYGGAACGTGTTAGTCAACAAGAGCACGCAAGTGGAGTCCTCTCCTTGGAAAGAGCATTGCCATTCCCTTCTAGGATTACTAAGATCATCATCCCAGGCTTTGGAATCTGGGAGAAGATCTTTCAGCTCTCCAGCATCATGGTGGAGGACAGCAAGCTGCCCGGACACTTAGCCAGCACCTGGATAGACTGACTTTGCTATGAAGACGTTAAGAGCTGGCTACAATTACAGGTCTTAAACTCGATATCAGGCTTCTCAGAGAGACAAAGCATCATTTACACTGCAACCCTACCAGGACAGTAAATACTACTAGCTGTGTTTCAGCAGTACGTGCCACCCRGCCACCACAGGAGGGTTCAGACCAGCTTTGCATTTCAAGGGTGAGAGGTTCAGCAGGAACCCAACAACAGTCAAGYATTTGATGAGAAGACAGAAAAAACACTGTCGGCAGCTCTAACCCGTAAAACTTTCTTCCTCTATGTTTGCTAATCTGCTGTTTTCAAAGAGTTACCTTTTAAACTAACCCAAGACAGGAAGAAGCCCAGCCCAGCCCAGCGTGTGTTACCAGACCATTTCTCAGCTGCTCCACCTTCCTCCTATCTATACAGTGGCTTCCACAGTTCAGAACTTTGGCAGGGCAGCAAGAATTTTCTGCCTTGAGTTTCCAGCCACATCTGAATTTACTTCAAGCTGAATGGTTTTGCAACAGGAGGAAATTTTTTTAAAAAAAGGTTTTTTTAAGGGCTTTTAGGGGCCCTGATGTAATGTTGTTCCTCATTGCATCATACACAGGTAAATGGTCTCTGCCTCATTTCCAGCCAAGCTCCTGGACACTAAATGGCACCCATCTGGGTTTGGCTACATTCCAGCAAGAGAAGTGTTTGTCTCTGTACCTATTACCAATTTCAYGGTGTTATTCCATGGTATTAATTCTTTCACATCAATTCCAGCAAGCTGCTCCAACTCCCCAAGAGAAGCCTGGCAAGTAGGTCCCCATTTCCCCCAGAAAACCTCTACTCTACAGATTTTACATCAACCAATACCAACAGGGATAATATCCTGGGAGCAAATGACACATCAAGGAAAGGCTGTAACAACCGTCACCTTAAACACAACATAAAACACATTTCCACATTTCATAGCTGAAGGCGAAGACTTCCAGGGGGTAGGAAAAGGAATCAACTAACATTACCTTGAATTTCCAGCAGGGATTTCTTAGACCAAAATCACAAACACATTTTAAAAGAAGCTGTGATCAGGACCAAAGGCCCTGCAGCTTCTCCAACCGGMCGACTGAGGACACGAACCGCTTAGCTGTGCTATGCAGGACCTGGGGCTTGCTCTGCCTCCTATTCTGGGACACCAGCCAAGGAGAATATATTCAAAAAAAGCCTCCCGACAACATGACTCTGCAGAACACGCAGCAGCAGGGCAGCAAGCCCTGCCGCATCACTTTTGGTGCAGTCACTTGCTTCCTGGAAACACATGCTCTGGCAGCACATCGCTGTTCCACCTGCTAAATAATTTACAGCCCAGGATTTGTACAAAACACTATTTTTTCCCCCTCTCCATGAAGGAGCAATTAAAGAGCAGTTAGAAGGAGACAAGACTGCAGGAGCTGACACGGATGCTGCAGTGGCCAGGCCGACTGTTGCCTGTTAAATTAAAATGSAAAGCAGGACTGCAAAGGCTCATGCGATGCAGTTCCCCCCTCTCTAAAGACAATCTCTGAAGTGCTTAGCCAGCTCTAAGAAACCTGCCACCCGTAATCCCCATGACGCAACCCCGAATTAGGAAGCCAGATGCAACAGGGCTCGGTCTCCGGAGGGCTCGTGTGGAACGAGCGCTGCTTCCCGCCAGGCTGGTAACACAGAGAGCACCGGGGCGGCTGGTGCCCCTCCACTGCAGCCCCTTCTGCCAGCAGGACGCAGGCAGAGCTCCAAAACAGGTTAACCTGGGTGAAAACTTCTGGCCCTACCTCACTCGAAGCACAACCTGTCCATCTGTGGAGGCTTTCGAGCATCAAGGAGGCTTGAGATCCACTGAACATCTCCACAACAAACATCTCCAGATGTTTTGCAAACATCTCCAGATCTTCAGCTGCATTAGCACTTCTGAGCTTAGGGATAAGAGCAGTTCACAGTGGGGAAGGCTACAAGGGGTTGGACAACTGGTATTTAATTGCCTTTGTGCTTGCTTGTAAAAATATGTATATAAATAATAAAATAAATAAAATCCAGCAAGTGAGAATTAGCTGTCACCACTCAGATCTCTGAAGGCAACAGAAGCAGGAGGACGCCTTCAGTAACAAGGTGACTGAAACCAGTGCAGGACAGCACTGAGGACCACATCTTATTTCAAGCAGTTCTGAACATTAATGAGTCTCACAGCAAAAACACTTGCCAAGGAGAGCCAAGGATYCCAGGGCTCATCTCCAGCTCCACGGTGATTCCAGGCACCAGAATGGYGCTTGTGTCAGCAAAGACACATCCCTGACACATCCTACGCCAGCACRTAGAGGTCTACAGCATGAAGAAAGCAGAGGGGGAGTCTTGGAAACAGATGGGGCAAAGGAAATAAGAGTGACAAAACCTCAAGCAAGGGGGCATTGCCCAACTCGCAGCCACCAAGGTTGGTGACTGTGGCCCTCTCCATGCCAGTGTTTTGTTTCATCACCCTCTTTAAACAAGACTGGTGTTGTCAAATGAATGTAATGTTGACTGGGCCTAAACGGGCCCAAAGGGCAGCTTGTAGAGGAAAACGTTTTGGCAGGGCCACTGGCTCCAGGGATGACCACGCTGAGGATACAACAGCCCCATCAGGACCACAACAGCCCGATCAGGACCTGAATGTGCCCCAGACCCTGGTAAGCCCGGCAGCAACAGCAACCCAAAACTGGCAAGACAAGAGGAACCCACAAGTCCTGACACAGCGCAACACCCCAGGACAGCCGTCACCTCGGCCGAGCGTGGGGCCCCCAACTAGGGGTCCTGCAGGGAGGATCAAGGCAAGAACAGCTTAGGAAAGATGCAACGAGAAAGGAAGGCACAAGCCACCGCACGGAGGGCACGCATGAAGCACGGCCACGGAGAGCTGCTCGCGTGCAGACACCGTGTCAGTGCCTGACTGCCACTCCAGGAACCGCTTCCCAGAGAAAGCAGCAAAATTCCGCAACTCCCGGCTGCAATCACAGCTCCCAAGCACTTCCCACACCCGAGCGAGCTGGGAAGAGGAGAGATGTCAGAACCAAATCACTCATTCCCCAGAAGTTTATTACAACGGGGGTCTCCAGGACCAATTTTTTTCTTCCTTAGAAGCAAGGCGGAACTTCCACTGGTTTGGAAAGAGATGTGGGGAACGTGCCAAAACGGCAGCCAGGGCTCGTCCGCTCCACACCGAGGGAAATGCAGCAGCTGCACTGACGGATCCCTGTTGGAAAGGCGGCTGCATCTCCAGCGGGGGCAGCCCAGACGCACCATAAATCACCCCTTCTTCGCTCATCCTGCTAAAAAGCTGTTGATATTCCCAAGCTTCTCAAATCCCAGGGAGGCACTGGAGAAACCAGCTCCAGTGTGGAAACTSAAGCATCCGAAGCTGCTTTTCCCAGGTCTGGGGCAAGGGAAGCAGCGACAAACCCTCGTCGTACACAGCCACCGAGGGCAGGGAAAGGCCCACGCGGGTCAATCCGCGTGCCCTCATGTTGGTCTTTCCAAAGGCTTTAACTCCTTGCGAGCCAAAAGACCCCAAGAATTACATAATACGGCTCATATATATAAATTGTAAAATGTATATATACATAAGCCATTTTATATATATATATAAATATATATATATATATATATTTTTTAGGCAAATACAGACATATCCCTCCCATTTAATTCGTTATTTCACCCTGGTATTTCAGAGCAACCCTCAGCACCCGAGCCCCGTTTCAAGCCAGTATCAGTGGAGTCCGGGTGCGATCCTGACATCCAAGCACCAGCACCCAATGCTTGGGACTAGATACCCGGTTAACACCCTCCCTGCTCCCATGGTTTCTGTTGACTCGGATTCCCGCTGAGCCAGTGGCCGCCTGCCGAAACCCCCCTGGGCTCCGGAGCGGGTACGATTCGGACGCGGTGCTTCCAGGTGCTGGCGGTTATTGCGTATCAGGTGCACCAGAAGGCCGGGATCTGGTCCCAAAGCGGAGTGCCCTGTGCTGCCACCTGCCCTTGGGGGGCACCGGGGATGCAAAGCGGGTTCCCCCGGGCACTGCGGCCCCCGGGCACCGCAAACCCGGCACAGTGAGGGGCGACRGGCAGCGGGGCGCCCCGGAGGGACCCCCGCCCCGTGACCCCCCCACGCGGCCACTCCGACCCCCTTCCCCAGCGCATCGGGTCCTGCCAGATGCAGGAGCGCTCGCGACACCCTCGCGGTGCGCGAGTCCCGCCATCGTCCCCCGCCCAGCGCTCCCCCGGCGCAGCCGCTCCCGCCGCCCTCCCCAACGCACCGGCTCCCTCCATCCCCCCGCCAGCGGCACCGTCCCCCCCATCCCCGCTTACGCAACCGCCCCCGCCGCCCGCACTCACCGCGAGCAGCGCGGCGGCGGCGCCCATGGTGGCGGGAGGCGCCCGCCGCAGCGGCGGCCACGCGC